GCCCCAGACGGTGAAGAAATGGTGATTTATAGACTGGATTCCTGCTGTATACTACTTAAATAAATATAGGATCATGAGAAGGTTAAAAGTAAAAGGATGGGAAAATATATTAGAGATATAAGACAAAAAGAAAGCTAATATAGTCTTCACAGGAACACATACACAAAAAAAGAAGGGAAATTTAAGTTTTGGGAAGGAGGGGAACAAAGGAATTCTAATTCCCAGATAACATGTTTACCTACATAGAAAATTGAAGAAAATCTACACACATACTATTAGAACTCATAAAAGAGTTTGGCTGGGTTTTTAAAATATATGCATTTATATGTAAGTATTTAAAATTCACTTGTATCACTGCATGCCAGTAAAAACAAAAGACTGAAATCTTTATGGAGTTTACAAAACCCAATTGGACAAGAATGGAGACCTAAATAAATGGAGAGGTATACTATGTTCATGGATAGAAATATAGTACTGGAAAGATGTGAACTCTCCCAAGTTAATCATTAAGTAAGTCAGTGCTGCTTTAAAAACTCTCATGGAGGTTTTAGGATCAAAACAAGTTAACCCTGTAATTAATATGGCAGATAGTTTCAAGAGAGAATAAGGTAGAGGACTTGGCCCTGCCAAAGTCTGATTATATGGTTAGGTAACTAAGACAATACAATTAAATGCTCAGAAACAGACCCATGTATGTGTGGGAACTTAGTATACAAAGAATTTCTGTTCATTTGGGAAAGGTTGGACTAATCAGTAAATGATGCCCATTATTCCTCTGGGAAAAGACAGTATTTTCTACCTCCTATCATACACACCAGGGGTCAGCAAACTTTCTATAAAAGACCAGATGGTAAATATATTTGCTAGGCTTTGCAGGCCATAGAGTCTCTTGTCTCATTCTTTCCTATCCTTGTAGCCATAGATAGTATGTAAATAAATGGACATGGCTATGCTAAAATAAAACTTTATATAAAAACCTAGGGGTGGGCCTGATTTGGCTCATGGGCTGTAGTTTCCCAGTCTCTGATAGATAAATTCCAGGTAGATAAGAACCCAGAACTTTAAAAAGCAAAACTTGAAACCATAGGAGAAAATACAGGGGGGAAATCTGATTTTGGGGTAGGAAAAGATATCTTTTTTTTTTTTAATTTTTTAATGTTTTTTTATTTATTTTTGAGACAGAGACAGAGCATGAACGGGGGAGGGTCAGAGAGAGAGGAAGACACAGAATCCGAAGCAGACTCCTGGCTCTGAGCTGTCAGCACAGAGCCTGACACGGGGCTCGAACTCATGACTGTGATATCATGACCTGAGCCAAAAGTCGAATGCTTAACCGACTGAGCCACCCAGGCGCCCAGGAAAAGATATCTTAAACAATAAGACAGGAAAATACAGTACACATAATGAAAATTTAGCTAATTAAAGTTTAAAACTTCCATGCAATAAAGTTTTATTTATTTGTTTATTTTTTACTTAAGTAATCTCTATACCCAACATGGGACTCAAACTCATGGTCCTGAGATAAAGATCATGTTCTTTCCACTGAGCCAGCCAGGTGCCCAAAGCTTCCATACAGTAAAATATACATAAGGTATTTGCAACACAAATGATTAGTATCCAGAATACTATGGCATTCCTACCAATAAGTAAAGGATGAAGGACATGACTAGGCAGCCCATAAAAGAGGAAACCTAAACAGCCAATAAACATGAAAGGTATCCCCTCAAAGGAAATCAAGGAAGTTAGTTCAAAACACCATCAAGTGACATTTGAAAAATTTATATAGCTACTTTCATTAAAAATACCCATCATCGGGGGGCGCCTGGGTGGCGCAGTCGGTTAAGCGTCCGACTTCAGCCAGGTCACGATCTCGCGGTCCGTGAGTTCGAGCCCCGCGTCAGGCTCTGGGCTGATGGCTCGGAGCCTGGAGACTGTTTCTGATTCTGTGTCTCCCTCTCTCTCTGCCCCTCCCCCGTTCATGCTCTGTCTCTCTCTGTCCCAAAAATAAATAAAAACGTTGAAAAAAAAATTAAAAAAAAAAAAATACTCATCATCGGGGCGCCTGGGTGGCTCAGTCGGTTGAGCGTCCGACTTCGGCTCAGGTCACGATCTCACGGCTTGTGAGTTTGAGCCCCGCGTCAGGCTCTGGGCTGATGGCTCAGAGCCTGGAGCCTGCTTCCGATTCTGTGTCTCCCTCTCTCTCTGCCCCTCCCCCATTCATGCTCTGTCTCTCTCTGTCTCAAAAATAAATAAACATTAAAAAAAAAAATTAAAAAAAAATACCCATCATTGGTTACCCAACAGTTCCATTTCTAGTGTTTTATCCTAGAGAAATTCTTACCTATATACATTGGAAGACACATACTAGATTGTTGATCACATCGATATTTGTGATTATGAACACTGGGAAATAAAACTTAAATGTTTATTAACAGGAAAATGGGTAAATAAAAGTGCATTTTAGGAATGAAGCAGCTAAAGTGAATGAACTAGAGCTACATGAATCTACTAGAATTGCATCAGTATGGACAAAAGTGAAATTATGGAATGGATACAAGTGTCAGATATGTATAGAAAAATACTGTTTATGTACTTTTAATTTTTTTAAGTTTAAGTTTATTTATTTTAAGAGAGACAGTGTGAGCGGGGAAGGCGCAGAGAGCAAGGGAGAGAGAGAATCCCAAGCAGCCTCCGAACTGTCAGCACAGAGCCCAATGCAGGGCTTGAACTCATGAAATCGTGAGATCGTGAGATCATGGCCTGAGCTGAAACCCAACGTCAGGTGCTTAACCGACTGAGCCACCCAGGTGCCCCTATGTATTTTTTAAAGATGTACAGAATAATAGCATTTTTAAAAGTCATTTGTAGGAATAGTCTAAAAACATACAGGGCAGTAAACATCCAATTCAGGACCAATTTATCTCCGGGAAGGGAAGAAGGGCAATGGGATCAGGTAGTGGTTCATAGGATCCTTTAACTATACGTATAATATTTCAGGGGAGGGAATAGGTAAGTCAGACCTCTAATATTTGGCAAAGCTGGATTGTGTGTGTACTTTTATGTTTGAAATATTAACTAGGAGATTTGTAAGATGAGAATGTATTGAGGGTGACAGAAGTGGAACTGTGAAGATATATTTTGGTGGTAAAGTCAGTCGGTCTTAGAAGTGGTTTGGGTGTAGGAGGTAAGAGAGAGGCATGTTAAGAATGACTTCCAGGTTTTCGGCCCGAGAAACTGGGGTGATCGTGTCATTCGTGAGAGAAAAGACTGAGGTAGAATAGGTTTGGGAAAAGATGGTACGTTCCGTTTTGGACTAGTGTTATTATGGAAGATGACAGGGAGATGGTTAAATTTAAGGTCAAAAAGGATTTAAACTAGAAATAGAAATAGAGGATTCACAACTTACGTTTGGTATTGAAAGCCTTAAGAATGGGTAAGCTCAGCCAGGAAATACGTATGTGTATATAGTGAAAAGAAAAGGTGCTCAGACCCTTTCCCTGAGAAACTCCCAGTGGGCACTTGGAGAAGTTGGCAAGGTGGTAAACTGAGAAGGAGCAGCTGGAAAACCAGGAGAGTGGAGTGCTATGGAAGCCAAGACAAGTTCACGTTTCAAGTGGGAGATGTAGTCAGTTGGCAAACGCCGTAGTGAGGGCTGCAACCCAGTCCCTTCTACTGCATTTCCTTGTTTGATCTTCCTAAGAGTAGTGATCAGTACCTGCAATGATCTTATATTTGTCCGTGTTGGTCTCCACATTCATGCATGTAGACTTCTTGAAGGCAGGACTGCTCTTTTCTGAGCCAGGAGAGTATCTAGCACATTCGAGGCACTCAAATAACTTGTTGACGGATTGATTTATCAGATACCGCGGGAGCTAGTTATTTCCTGCTACTGGTGTTTAGTGTTTAAGAGCACAAGTAGAGAGATGGTCACATTTTGAGATTTCTTATTTTGATTGGCTTTTCATGGTGAAGTTAAAGAAAATTTAATGTTAAAAAAAATAGAAGAAAAGTAAGAAAGGTTAAAAATAGTCTTAGGTTAGATCCTGTAAGAGTTCACACTTTGCTTAAGCTGCCATGTACCTTCCTTTCTTGGATATTATATTACTAGCATACTTGCAGTACAATTTCTACTGTTTTCTGTAATGGAGAAGAAACTATATAGCTTTTTAAGAGAAATTGTTGGGCCTTGATTGAGTTTTAGAAGTTTAGAAGGTAAGTTTAGAATGTTTGTATTGGATACTGTGAGGGTAATACACAAGAAGTAAGATAGAAGATACAAAGAACTCTTTTCCTCAGGATGTATCTAGTAGTGGGCATCTTTTTTCAACGTTTATTTATTTTTGGGACAGAGAGACAGAGCATGAACGGGCGAGGGGCAGAGAGATAGGGAGACACAGAATCAGAAACAGGCTCCAGGCTCTGAGCCATCAGCCCAGAGCCCGACGGGGGGCTCGAACTCACGGACCACGAGATCGTGACCTGGCTGAAGTCGGACGCTTAACTGACTGCGCCACCCAGGCGCCTCTAGGCATCTTTTAATAATATTAGTTAACATCCTAAATTTACTGTGTGCCTGTTACTCTCCTACACCCTTTACAAATATTTATTTTTTTCACCCACGACCCTCTAAGATAGGTGTTATTACTGACCTAATTTTATACATAAAGGAAATTGAGACCCAGAGAAGTAACTTGTCCAGGATCACATGGCTGTGTAATAAGTGGCAAGCTAGAATTGGAACCCAGGTGTTCTGCATTGTCTCTCTGTAAGCACACTCCGTGCTTGTGCTCTTGGATGAATGAATGATGTTCAAAGGTCACTTCCTTAGAGAAACTTCCCCCGACAATTGTCCTGCCCGGTCTCCCTCCCAAGGCACTTATTCTATTATTGTACAACTTTGAATATTCATCTGTTAGAATAAAGCTTGTCTAATTTTTACAGCATATAGAATGGATCTTTTCGACTGTAAAAGTTGCTCACGATGCTCTTTTATCTTCTAGTGAAAGGCAAAGAACAAGAGAAGACCTCAGATGGCAAGTCAATTAAAGGTGAGTTCCACGTCATTCCATTGTATTAAAAAGTGATGTGTTCTGCATTTATAGGCTATTGAATCCTGGTATCTTCCCCCTTCTTTTGCCATTATTTGTCTCTGTCTTCTTTTAGAATTAGGGTTGTGACTTACTTCCTTGTTCAGCCTATATACTTACTAGCACATGATAGGCTTTTTACTAAGCGCTTGTTGGCTGTCCTAGTGATACAGTAAACCAGTCCTTATTAATCACCCATTTGATTGTTCCTAAAAGCAATTAGTTGTCTTTCTATTAAAAAAACAAGGGGCGCCTGGGTGGCTCAGTCGGTTGAGCGTCCGACTTCAGCCAGGTCACGATCTCGTGGTCCGTGAGTTCGAGCCCCGCGTCAGGCTCTGGGCGGATGGCTCAGAGCCTGGAGCCTGTTTCCGATTCTGTGTCTCCCTCTCTCTCTGCCCCTCCCCTGTTCATGCTCTGTCTCTCTCTGTCCCAAAAATAAATAAACGTTAAAAAAAAAAAATTAAAAAAAAAAAACAAAAAGCGAAAAATACTCTGAACCGAGCTGACAGCTAAGTGAAAGAACTACCACTTCTAAGGCTTGGTTTTCCAGAAGTGTGGATGATCACAGCTTGAACTTCTCTGTTACTTTGGATGAATGGTCTTAAAATTTATTCAGAGTACTTTATTGTAGTCAATATATTGCCCTTATTTATAGGTTAGAGCATGCTTTTTTAGGTTGTGATCTCTACTATAGTTTTGACTGATTTCATCATGTCCATGTACAAAGATTGGAATGGAAGATTATGATGGAAATTGTTTCTATAGCTGTTACATGTAAGTTTCTTCAAGAAAATTTATTTACATGAAATCTGTAGATTGCTGCTTAGATTTTTCTTTCAAATGTTTGTTATGTAGCTAGCAGTGAGTATTAACTGTATATGATCAATTTGCCAGAGAGACTGATTATAACTTAAGAGATTTATAAAATTAGGGAAAAACTAGGGTAGCTTGCAGTCTTATTTTCTGCTTATTTCTGATAATTTAAAGCCAGTTGGATTCCACATTGGTTCATACTGCCCTCCTCAAGCAAAATTTGATTGGCTTCAAGCCCTTAGCAAGCAGTGTGTGTGAAGACAGGATCTGATTGTAGAAGGAACAGACTTTGATGTCTCAGGCACACAGATCTTCTACTCTAAACTCTGCTACTAACAGTATGACCTTGGGAAGTGATGTAACCTTTTTCGGTTCTTTGTTGCAGAATGAGAGAACTGGCCTGCCTCACTTTCTAAGTCTATACGAGGCTAAAAAGTTCCATGTTCATACTCTGACAATATATAATCTGTGCTTACCTGACTTACCTTGGAATAATACAGAAGCAAGACAGGAAACAGGCCCTCACGAAGTTAGCAGTCTGATTAGAACTTAGATGCAGAATAGTAGCAAATACCCCAACATACTAATAACTACCATTTCTTGAGCACCTGTTCTCTTCTAGGCATTAGCCAAAAAACTGCGGCTGTAACAGTGAACAAAAAGGACTTGGATCCTGTAGTCCTTGAACTTATAGATTGGTAGGGGAGAGGCATGTTAATCAGGTGATTCCACAGATGGCATGGGCTAGAATCTGTAGTGATGGAAATAAAGTGATCTGGATAGATCAGTTTAGAGCTAAAATGGATAGAACTTTGTTATTGAATAAATATGAGATGTAAGGGAAAGGGAGGTTCAAGGTTGACACCTACTTTTCTGGTTTGTCCAACAGTGAGACTGGTGGAGAACCAGGTTGGGAAATTATATGTTCAGTTTTGGCATGTTGGGTGGGAGATACTTTGGAGACATTTACATATATTTTATGCACACAGTAATTCTAGAGTCTGAGTTTCCATCCAGAGGTGAAAGTGATTTTCTAGAGTCTGGCAGACCAAAGTTGAAATCCTGCATGTTGAAACAAATGACTCTTTACCATCTCGTTGACTTCTGGCAAAGTATTTAACTTTTGTCTGTGTCCACATCTCCAAAATGGGGAAAATACTGGTCCTGCAAAATTGTTGTGAGAAATAATGAAATAACGTACCCCCAAAAACGTCTATGAAGCAACCCGTACTGCATTGGTAGCTCTTGTTTTCTAGTTTTAGCAGGAGAGGCCCTCAATATGTTGACTTCGTTAAATGAAGTGCTGTGAGGAGTTCAGAGGAATTTGAGATCAGCAAATGGTTTCTGGAGTGTAGGGAAGACTATAGAAATGGGACTTAACGTATCTAAAAGTTGAAGAAGGAGGATTTGAATGAAAGAGGCGATTTTGTCTCTTTTTCTCCTACCAGCGCAGCTTCTTATTTCTTTGGGTATATGTTGGGCAGAGGGACCTTCATCCAGACAAGTAAAGATATTTTTACAGAAGAGTGATATCCATTATGAGGGTCATAAAGACCAGAAAAGAGAGTTGAGACAGAAAAATAGGGAGCCTGCAGGCTATTGAACAGGATGTTGATGCTTTACATACAGTATTTATGAAAGGTTAGTTTGAAAGCGTTTTGTAGGAGGAGATCCTAGAAGTTCTTTTACTGTAATGCAGAAAGGCCTATATTAAAGATGTGGTGTTGATAATAAACAGACAAGTAGATGTTTAAAGATCTTGAAGGAAAAGTCAACAGATCTTGGCAGGTAAACACATAGAGCGAAAAAGAATGGGTCCAAGATTTTGAGCTTTGGAGACTTGCAGATTGAACAGAGACAGGGAAATTGAGTAGGAGATTTAGTTTGGAAGAAGATGCAGTAAGTTTGATATTTGGACAAATTGGTCTTGATATGGTAAAGTCGAAGTGAGAATAGCTAGTAGTAAGTTGTTACAGATACAGGATCAAAGCCCAGATCAAAGGACAGGTCTCAGATACAGGTCAGGGGTTCTCAACTGGGGTTCTAGTTCCACACAGGTACAATCTAGGAGCTGTTGCTGGAGGTCCAGGGCATGAGTGAGACTCTCCCCTTGAATCCGCCAGTTACTAGTAACTCTCTTTTTAAATCTCTTTTAGATATCTATTTAGGTTTTAGATACTTATTTTATTTAGAGATTTGTTTTACAGGTGTATCAGGCTCCTCACTTAAGTTTATTTGGGGGGAAAAAAAGAGCGTGTTTACGGTTTAAAAAAATGTTCGAAAAAGATTGCTGTAGCAATAATTTGAGGTTTGAGAATAAATGTTGTTTCTAGCAGGAAGAATAGAAGAACAGAGAACCTCAGGAAGAGGGGGTCCTGAGGAGTCATGGAAGGAGATCATATCTGACACAGTGGACTAATAAATGTGTTCTAAGGGCTTGAAAGGGAGGCACAGATAAAAAAGATATTTTCTGTAGAAAAGTAAATTAAGGAGCACATAGTACCATGGAAACCAAAGGAAGGTAGACTATCTGGAAGCAACATCTAAAATAAGGGGCGCCTGGTGGCTCAGTCAGTAAAGTGTCCGACATCGGCTCAAGTCATGATTTCACCGTTTGTGAGTTCGAGCTCTGTGTCAGGCTCTGTGCTGACAGCTCAGAGTCTGGAGCCTGCTTCGGATTCTGTGTCTCTCTGTCTCTGCTCCTCCCCTGCTTATGTCCCGTCTCTCTGTCTCTCTCTCTCTGTCTCTCTCTTCCTCAGAAATAAAATAAACATTAAAAAATAATAAGTCAATAGTTCTAATAAGAAAGAGGAGAAATAAATAAATTAATAGCATTTTGTATCATTATATACATCTAATAAGGAAACCATTAATCTTACCCGTTCTTACAGAATGTTATTTGTAGTTTGTTATCTATACAAAAAATCATTATTGCTTATAAACTTGCTAAAATGATTTTGCTCTCTTCAATTTATCGTGAAAGCAAAACAAAAAACAAGACTTGATTCTAAAACTGAAAAAAATCTCTTGAAGACAACTCCATTTTGTAATTCTCCCAACTCTTGTTGAATGACTGGTAAATATAGGTACCTGACAAATAGGTATGGACATTCATGTTCTTACCTGCTTTATCCTATTTATCAAAATGTCTCGAAGAGTAAGAGAGTGAATTACAGTATGCTGTACTCTTCATAAGAAATGTTACCTGGTATTGCTCAGAATCTGTGGGAAGTGTTTGCTGAGATTGAGGAGTGCTTATCTGTTGGCAGTGTAGTAAAATAAATAGTGTTGGTGGCTACAAGTTTAGTTATCTAAGAGTATTTATCTTGAGGGTGTGGGGTATGGAATGCTAGGTGACCTGTATCTCTTCTATCCTTCTCGCTATAGCAATGTGCTAAACCAAAACTTCTTCAAAACCTTGAATAAGAGTCATTGATATTTGGGGGGATAGCTAGAATTTTGATCCAGCCGTGTAGCAACAAGGTCACAGGATTACTTTGACAGTATTATAATATTGAGTTGATTATTTCCTATTAATAAATAGGTGACTAGTCTCTTTATTCTGACGTCAATAGGATCTTTCTTCAGACTACTAAAGAAAGTATATTTTGTGAATAGAAAAATTGTTTTTTAATGTTTATTTATTTTTGAGAGAGAGAGAGAGACAGAGCGCAAGTAGGGGATGGGCAGAGTGAGAAGGAGACATAGAATCTGAAGCAGGCTCCAGGCTCTGAACTGTCAACACAGAGCCCGACGCGGGGCTCAAACTCATGAACCACAAGATCATGCCCTGAGCCAAAGTCAGATGCTTACCTAAGCCACCCAGGTGCCCCTATTTGTGAATTTTTTAAGTGTGCTTTATGTTTAAGCAGCTTGAAATTTGATTAGAAATGTTTTTTTATTAAATAGAGAAATTTGTTACTCAATTAAAAAGTAAAATAAGGGGCACCTGGCTGGCTTAGTCATTAGAACATGTGACTCTTGATCTCAGGGTCATGAGTTCAAGCCCCATGTTGGGTGTGGAGCCTACTTAAAAAAAAATGAGAATTAAAAAGTAAAAGTAATGTAAGCGTTCTGAAGAGTATTTTCTGGTTTCCCCCCTATTTTGTTTTAGTTTTTTGTTCTTTGGACAAAAAAGGATTAAGGAATTGAAAAGGGTCCATATATCAATGTTTCCTGGCTTTGGCACTTTCTATCATCAGAAGTTCTCAAAGCTCTCTGTTTTCAGTTTCGTTTTTAGCACAATATTTTGAGAGTTTTAAATAATAATAGGACATTTCCTTCCAGTTTTCTGCCCCTTGATTGATTTACCTTTCCCCTAAGTATTTTTGAGTGCATACTTGAGAGGTGTTACAAAATTTAATTCTTAAGGTTCTCTTAAAGCCCTTTTATGAGACAGTTTTAGAGGATCAAATTGCGTTTAACTTTTAACCATTTGTTTTTGAAAAATTACAGCTTCAATATCTGTACATTCCCCACAAAAAAGCACTAAAAATCATGCCTTGCTGGAGGCAGCAGGACCAAGTCATGTTGCAATCAATGCCATTTCTGCCAACATGGACTCCTTCTCAAGTAGCAGGACAGCAACACTTAAGAAGCAGCCAAGCCACATGGAGGCTGCTCATTTTGGTGACCTGGGTAAGTGACTCACTTTTTGTTAACTTCCAATAGAAGGAAGGATTTGAGTGTAATATGTGAAACTCTTGCTGGAGGATACTGGAATTACAATTGGAACAGGCTTTGAAAAAACGTATTTAAAATAACAGCTATAAGTATAATGAATGGCACTCTATTGTGTTCCTGTAAGTATAAAATGTGAAGCATTCTCAGTAGAAAAATCGGCCATTTTCAGAAGAAATATATTTGGCTACTAATTATATGAAAAAGATGCCTCACTTCATGCATACTCAGGGAAATGCAAATTTAAATAAGTTTCCCCCAACACATGAGCAGATATTTTTAAAGTTTGATAATTTGAATGTTAATGTAGATGAAGAGAAATGGCCACTCCTATTTAGTGGAAGTATAAATTGATGAAAATTTTTTGGAAGGCAGTTTGGAAGTATTTATCAAAATATAAAATATAAGATCTAGCCCTCAGATATATTTACATATATGCAAAGAGATGTATATCCAAGTATGTGTGTGTTGTTTGTGATAGCAAAAAAGCGAGGAACAAGGTAAATATCTGTTAATGAAGAAGCAGTCAAGTTGTGATACCTGTATTTGAAATAGTGGGTAGCCATTTAAAAATCTGAAGATAACATAGAGAAATATCTAAGGTGAAAGTTAAAATTTTTTTTTTTTTTAACGTTTATTTTTGAGACAGAGAGAGACAGAGCATGAACGGGGGAGGGGCAGAGAGAGAGGGAGACACAGAATCGGAAACAGGCTCCAGGCTCTGAGCCATCAGCCCAGAGCCTGACGCGGGGCTCGAACTCACGGACCGTGAGATCGTGACCTGAGCTGAAGTTGGATGCTTAACCGACTGAGACACCCTGGCGCCCCTAAGGTGAAAGTTTAAAAAGCAGGTCGCATAACTGTGTGTAGTAGGATCCCTATTATGTTAAAATAGCTTCTCTTTCTCCCTTGTCCCCCACCCCTAAAGATAAGGAGATTGATGTTTTCTGAATTTTTGTCACCCAGATTTCTGCACTTATAAAAATTGCATATCATGGTATCATAAATTGAAAAAACAATCCCATGAATAAATTGATGTCTAATAAAATTAATCCCTCTTTTGCCATCTTCACTTAACATTAGTGTTTATTCAAAGGTGCCAAAGTATTTATGATGGGTCACACTCAGCAGTACATTGCAAACAACATTTGTATTGGTCACAAAATAAAATTGTAAGTTTTACTGGATTACTCCTGTGTTGCTGGTGAGAATGTGAAATGGTACAGCCACTCTGGAAAACAGATTGGCAGTTTCTTATAAAGCTGAATAGGCAGTTACCATATGACCCATCAGTTTCACTCAGCATTTATCCCAGAGAAGTGGAAACTTACATTCACATAAAAAACCTATATACCAATGTTCATAGCAGCTTAAAAACCAAAAACTGACTGTCTTTCCACAGGTGAGTGAATGTGGTTGAATAAACGGATACATCCATGCCACAGAATACTACTCAGCAATAAAAAAGAGCAGACTATTGATATACCTAACAACTTGGATGAATCTCAGGGGAGTTAGGCTGAGCGTTAAAAGCCAGTCCCAAAATGTTATATTTGTGTAGTATGATTCCATCTGTATAATATTCTTTTTATAAATGATTTTTAAATATTTACTTTTGAGAGAGCGTGTGTGCGTAAGTGGGCAGGGGCAGAGGCGGGGGCAGAGGATCTGACTGAACCACCCAGGCGCCTCTGTATAATATTCTTGAAACGACAAAATTAGAGAAATGAAGAACACGGTAGTGTTTGCCAGAGGTTAGGAACAGAGGAGGTGGTTATAAAAGGCCATATGAGGGATCCATGTAGCATTGGAACTGTTGAGTATCTTGGTGGTTACATGTGATAAAATTGCACAGAACAAAGTACATGAGTGAGTACAGGTAAAATGGGAAATCTGAGTAAGATTGGTGGATTGTATCCATGTCAGTACCTTGGTGGGATACTGTACTGTAGTTTTGTAAGATGTTACCATAGGGGAACCTGGGTAAGGGGTACATGGGATCTCTATATTGTGTCTTACACTTTTTTTTTGAATTTACCATTATCTCAAAATTGAAAGTTTAATTTAGGGGTGCCTGGGTGGCTCAGTCGGTTGAGGGTCCGACTTCAGCTCAGGTTATGAGCTCACGGTTTGTGAGTTCGAGCCCTGCATTGGTCTCTGTGCTGACAGCACAGAGCCTGGAGCCTGCTTTGGATTCTTTGTCTCCTCCTCTCTCTGACCCACTCCCGCACCCGCTCTGTCTCTCTCTCTCTCTCAAAAATAAGCAAACATTAAAAATTTTTTTAGAAGTTTAATTTAAAAAATTGTAATTCTAGGGGTGCCTGCATGGCTCCAACTCTTGGTTTCAGCTCAAGTCATGATCTCACTGTTGAGTTCGAGCCCCGCATTGGGCTCTGTGCTGACAGCACGGAGCCTGCTTGGGATTCTCTCTCCCTCACTCTGCCCCTCCCCTGCTCTCTCTCTCAAAATAAAGTAAATAAACTTAAAAAAAATAAAATATTGTAAGTCTTGTAAAGGGTCAGGATTTTCTGAAGTTCGTGAAAGTGATGTTGACCAAGATGCCCTAGTTAACATTGACAATGAGACAGCCAGCAAGGATGATCCGCAGAGAGATTCAAAAGAAAATGATTTGAATATCAAAGGATGAAGAAAAGCCCTTTTGAAAAATTGATGAAGCCCTTGTTAATTTTATGAAAATGAACCTCAATGTGCCACTGCTGTGAATGTAAAAAATATTTTTAAATTTTTTGTTTAATAACTAGTTTGTGGTTAGAATCATAACCTAAATTTAGTCTAATGTAAAATGAACATATTTTTATTAAGTTTTATTTAATTTTATTTTTCTAGCTAATCTCCAAGAACTGTTCTTTATTCTGTTGTAATCAGTGCTGAGAGTTGGTAACATTTTTCTAGCTATATCCACACATCCACAATTTTCCTCAGGAAAAGTTCCTAGAAGTGGAGTTACTAGATTGAAAATCATGGAGATTTCTAAAGCTTTGCTGTCTGTTACTGAGTGCTCCTTCAAAAAGGTTTTCCCATCTTTTCTTCTCATCATCAGTGGGTGACAGTGTTGGCCTATTTTTTCTTTGCCTTTGTTAATTGTTACTTTTTGAAACAACATCTTCCAGTTTGACAGACAAAAATGTGACCTTGTATTAATTTGCTTTTCTGGGATTTTTAACTAGATTGAATATATTTTCATATTTTTATTGGCCTTTTTTCCTTTCTCTGGGACTAGTATCATAAGATTTTTTTTTTTTTTTTAAGAATTTACATGGTCTGAACTGCCATTAAAAGAGATAATACTTGAGTTACAGAGAGCTTTTTGATGGATTAAATAAGTTTTGGACAGTTGTTTCTTTGCTTGTTTAGAAGCCAGAACTATAGAGTTTTTAGTTCTTTATTCATTTAAATTGCTAGGGAAGTAAACTTTATTCAAGAATTCTGGTACCACTGATGCTAAAAGTGACTGACTTATCTGTCAATCTTAAATTATTTGTTACTGAGCTGCTAATCTTTTGCTTCTTTTAGGCAGATCTTGTCTGGACTACCAGACTCAAGAGACCAAATCCAGTCTTTCAAAGACTCTTGAACAAGTCTTACATGACACAGTTGTCCTCCCTTATTTCATTCAATTCATGGAACTTCGGAGAATGGAGCATTTGGTTAAATTTTGGTTAGAGGCTGAAAGTTTTCACTCTACGACTTGGTCTCGAATAAGAGCACACAGTCTGAACACAGTGAAGCAGAGCTCATTGGCCGAACCTGTCTCTCCATCTAAAAAGCACGAAACTACAACGTCTTTTATAACTGAGTCTCTTGACAAGAGATTGGAGGATTCTTGCTCAGCCCAGTTGCTTATGACTCAATCAGAAGGAATTGACGTGAATAATAGAACTAGCAACATTCAGAATCACTTGCTGCTTTCCCGGGAATGTGACAGTGCCCATTCTCTCCATCTTGAAATGGCCAGAACAGGAACTCATCAACTTTCCATGGAAACCCAAGAATCCTCCTCCAGACTTCTAGTAGCCAGTAGAAATAGTCCCTCTTCACCACTAAAGGACTTATCAGGAAAATTAATGAAAAGTAAGTATGTGATTTTCTTGTCTCTCTTTATCCTGTTTGGTTTGTTTGTTTAATCAGTTTACAAAGTAGAACTTGAGGGGAATAGAAGGGTTGGAATCGTTTTCTTATTGATTGATTGATTGATTGATTGATTGATTTAAATCCAGGTTAGTTAACATATAATGTAATAATGAGTTCAGGAATAGAATTTAGTGATTCATCACTTACATGTAACAACCAATGCTCATCCCAATAAGTGCCCTCCTTAATGCCCGTTGCCCACTTAGCCCATTCCCCCACCCATCAGCAGCCCTCAGTTTGTTCTCTGTATTTAAGTGTCTCATGGTTTGTCTCTTTCTGTCTTGTCTTATATTTGCTTCCCTTCCCCTCTGTTCATCTGTTTTGTTTCTTAAATTCCATTATGTGAGTGAAATCATATATTTGTCTTTCTCTGACTGACTTATTTCACTTAGCATAATACACTCTGGTTCCATACATGTTGTCACAAATGGCAAGATTTCATTCTTTTTGATTGCCGAGTGATACTCCATTGTATATATATACCACATCTTCTTTATCCATTTATCAGTTGATGGACATTTGGGCTCTTGCCATACTTTGACTGTTGTCAATGGTGCTGCTATAATCATTGGGGTGCATGTGCCCCCTCGAATCAGCATTTTTGTATCCTTTGGATAAATACCTAGTACTGCAATTGCTGGGTCATAGGGTAGTTGTATTTTTAATTTTTTGAGGAACTTCCATACTGTTTTCCAGAGTGGCTGCACCAGTTTGCATTCCTACCAGCAGTGCAAAAGGGTTTCTCTTTCTCTGCATCCTCACTGACATCTGTTGTTGCCTGAGTTAATTTTAGTCATTCTGATAGGTATGAGGTGGTATCTCATTGTGGTATTGATTTGTATTTCCCTGATACTGAGTGATATTGAGCATCTTTTCATGTGTCTGTTAGCCATCTGGATGTCTTGTTTGGAAAACTGTCTATTCGTATCTTTTGCCCATTTCTTCACTGGATTATTTGTTTTTTGGGCATGCTGAGTTTGATAAATTCTTTATAGACTTTTGGATATTAACCCTTTATCTGAGATGTCATTTGCAAATATTCTTTCCCATTCCATTGGTTACCTTTTAGTTTTGCTGATTGTTTCCTTTGCTGTGCAGAAGCTTTTTATCTTGATGAGGTCCCAATAGTTCATTTCTGCTTTTGTTTTCCTTGCCTCTGGAGATGTGTCAAGTAAGAAGTTGCTGCAGCTGAGGCCAAAGAAGTTGTTGTCTGTTTTCTCTAGGATTTTGATGACTTCCTGTCTTATGTTTAGGTCTTTCATCCATTTTGAGTTTATTTTTGTGTATGGTGTAAGAAAATGGTCCAGGGTCATTCTTCTGCTCGTCGCTGTCCAGTTTTCCCAACACCATTTGCTAAAGAGACTGTCTTTTTTCCATTGGATAATCTTTCCTGTCAGAGATTAGTTGGCCACATATTTGTGGGTCCATTCTGCGTTGTCTGTTCTGTTCCATTGATCTATGTGTCTGTTTTTGTGCCAGTACCATATGATCTTGACGATTACAGCTTTGTAATACAGCTTGGAGTCCGGGCTTGTGATGCCTCCAGCTTTGGTTTTCTTTTTCAGGATTACTTTGGCTATTCGGGGTCTCTTCTGGTTTCATACAAATTTTAGGATTGCTTGTTCTAGGTCTGTGAAGAATGCTGGTGTTGCTCTGATAGGGATTGCATTGAATGTGTAGATTGCTTTGGGTAGTAATTGGCATTTTAACAGTATTTGTTCTTCCAATCCATGAGCATGGAATGTTTTTCCATTTTTTTGTGTGTCTTCTTCAGTTTCTTTTCATAAGCTTTTTATAGTTTTCAGTGTGTAGATTTTTCACATTTTTGGCTAGGTTTATTCCTAGGTATTTTATGGGTTTTGGTGCAATGGTAAATGGGATTGATTCCTTGATTCCTCTTTCTGCTGGTTCATTATTAGTGTGTGTATAGAAATGCAACTGATTTCTGTACATTGATTTTATATTCTGTGACTTTGCTGAGTTCGTGTATCAGTTCCAGCAGTTTTTTGGTGAAGTCTTTTGGGTTTTCCACATAGAATATCATGTTGTCTGCGGAAGAGTGAACGTTGACTTCCTCCTTGCTGATTTGGATGCCTTTGATTTCTTTTTGTTGTCTGATTGCTGAGGCTAGGACTAGAAAAGGTTTCTTTTCTCTTCACACCCACTTGCAGATTTGGAAGGATTTGGATGGAGAGTGTCCTGAGTAGGCTTGGCATATAAAAAAGGAACAGCAGGGATACCTACAGGCTTGGATCCTCTAAGAAGGATATTCTCAGAATTAACCAGTGAGGAAGGGTTAAGTGTCCTGCCTTTCCCTTCCAAAGAGTTTGAAATCAAATCATTAACCCAGAAATGCTTATTTCATCCTCATCTTATTCTTAATTTACTACCATTTTAATGAACTTTATAGATGCGGTTATTTGTTAATTGCCAACCGGTGACCTCTGTTGGGTTCTGTGCCAAGTGCTGCCCTTGAATTCCACTTAACTCCAACACCTGTATGATATCGCCATCCTTAGCCTGTTTTACACATGAGAAAATCATGACTTAGGAAAGTAAAGGAACTTGCCTCGGGTTATAGAATGAGGGGAGGGGAGAGGGTGGAGCTAAAGTTAAAGTCCAGGCATTTCAACAATAGCACCTCTTTCTTGATTTCTTCTCTGTCCATTTGGGAGTTACACCCTCTGAATTTTTCAGTTATTACCTTCTAGAATTCTGATTAGACAGCCTCCAAGTTTTTCCTCTTTTTTTTATCTTATCTGTTCTTTATTTCTTACAGGGCTAGGTAATTTCTTTCTTGGCTTTTCTTTGTTTGCTTTTTCTTTTTTTTTTTTTTCCCCTCTAGTAAGACTTTATTTTTTCTGAGCAGTTTAAGGTTCACAGCAAAATTGAGGGGAAGGTACAGAGATTTCCCATATACCCTTGCCCCACACATACAGAGGCCTCTCCCATCATCTACGTCCCCCACTAGAGTGGAACATTTATTGCAGTTGATGAACCTACCTGGATACCTTATAGTCACTCAAAGTCCATAGTTTACATTAGGGTTCACTTTTGGTGTTGTTCATTCTTACAGGTTTGAACAAATGTATAATGACATGTATCCATCATTTATGGTGTTAGAGTGTTTTCACTGTCCTAAAAAATCCTCCGTACTGTGTCTATTCATCTCTTCCTACCTGCTTATCCCTGACAACCACTAATCTTTTTACTGTCTCCATAGTTTTGCCTTTTCCAGAATATCCTAGAGTTGAAATCTATCATAGGTAACTTTTCCACATTGGTGGTGTTTTCTTCAGATCTGTTTTTTATTTAGTTCATTGATTGTCTCAGTATGGGTCTGTCTAATCTGCTGTTGAATAATTTTTTAATGTTATTCTTATTTAAAAGTTAACTGAATTTTTTATTTCTAGAAAAAAATTTTACAATTCAAATTTGCCTCATCATTTTTTAGTTTCTTCTTCCTTTATCCCTTCATCCCACTCTTGAGCCCATTTTCTATTTAAATTTATTAAATATATATTCATCATCTGATAATTCCAATAGCTGTAGTTTTTGTGGATCTGATTCAGTATTTGTTTCTTCAGATTTACACTCTTGGTAGTTTGTGATTTTAGTGGTTTTGACTGTGAACATAGGTTTTTGGATTTTTATCTGTGGGAATTGTTTGAGAAATCTATTTAAATGGGCTTATTTCAGAGTATGTCTGCATTTGCATTTGTCCTGCATCTGGGGCCAGCTTCAGTACCATCCATTAGTTTTAGTTACCACTTAAAACTAAAATTTCTACCACTTAAAACCCAAATTCTACCCTATTTGGGTCCTGGGCAACTGCTCTTGAAAAGGCACACTCAAGTCTCTTGACATTGGTGGTTTTCCCAGGTGAATGCCCTTCCCCTCTGTACTTATGCCCATCTTGATTTGCACTGGCTCCTGCAGCTCCACAGTTCTTCATCTGCAATTTAGAAATCCAGAAAGCTTTGACTATCCCAGGTTATTTTTTAAAAGGACGAAACTTGACCTGGACTGGTATGAACTTACTGCAGAAACATAGATGTGTTTGATTATGTGGTGTTGTCCCACATGCTGCTAGAGGATTAACCTGGTTTCTATAAACACAGTGCATTACCTCTATAAAAACTGCCCAGATTCTGAATTCTAAAATATTACTGGCCCCACAGTTTTCAGATTAAGGAATTGCTTGTCCTTATATTCTTCCTCTCACTGTTTCCCTTGCTTTACCACGAACTCTGATATACTTTTAAAAAGCATTTTGGGGGGGCGCCTGGGTGGCGCAGTCGGTTAAGCGTCCGACTTCAGCCAGGTCACGATCTCGCGGTCCGTGAGTTCGAGCCCCGCGTCAGGCTCTGGGCTGATGGCTCAGAGCCTGGAGCCTGTTTCCGATTCTGTGTCTCCCTCTCTCTCTGCCCCTCCCCCGTTCATGCTCTGTCTCTCTCTGTCCCAAAAATAAATAAACGTTGAAAAAAAAAAAATTTAAAAAAAAAAAGCATTTTGGGGAAATTTAGTATTGTGAAGAATTTTTTTAAACATCTAGTCTGGCCTGTTTCTGGAAATGGAAGTCTGTTTAATTGTAATACACTTCCTTTTCTTTTTTCTTTTCTTTTTTTTTTTTGGAAGCCTTTTGGTTTGGTGGTAGTTTATTTCAATAAAACATAGAAATAGCAGTGGAGGATGGGGCGCCTAGGTGGTTCAGTCGGTTAAGCATCTGACTTCAGCTCAGGTCACAATTTCATGGTTTGTGAGTTCAAGCCCCATGTCAGGTTCTGTACTGACAGCTCGGATCCTGGAGCCTGCTTTTGATTCTGTGGTTCCCTCTCTGAGTCCCTCCCCTGCCCACGCACGCTCTTACACTCTCTCAAAAATAAATAAATGTTAAAAAAAAAAAAGAAATAGTGGAGTTATTAAAAGAGTACTTGTTT